CCGCTTCCTCCAGCATCCTGGCCGGCGGGGGAGCCGCGCAGAGCGGCGGCTTGAACGGGACAGCGGCGGCAGCGACGGCGGCGGCTCCCGCAGACTCACCTCCACACGGGTAGCTGCCGGGGTCCTGCGGACGCAGCGCCGGGCAGCCCGGGCCCGCCCCGGGGTCCTGCGGGCACTGCTGCGGACCGCCCCGCGCCGCCGCGCTGCCTCCTGGGAGGTGTACTTCTCACGGAGCGCGCGAAGCCACCTGGGAGTTGTAGGCCCGCTCATTTACTCCAAAATGCTAGCTGGGTTGGGCTGTTTGGCTAAAACTGCTAAAGTTTCACATAAACTCCAAGTCAGGAAATACGGAGACTTAAAAAAGAACTGTCTGAAGTGGAACTTATTTACACCCTGTCTTTGCTGTGGGAGGAGGGGGAGGTGACTGCGGATGTAGAACTTGACCTTGAACCGAGCAAAAAGTTGGTAACATAGGGAGGGGCCTGCTTGGTGCGCTGGGTCTCCTGGGAGTTGTAGTCTCATTGAGCAAGCACAGGGGATCATGGAAGCTGTAGTCTTCCTGGCAGAAGTCTGAAAAAAATCACTTAAAACTTCCAAGGAATGTAGATGTTAAACTTCCATGAGGGCGAAGACTTTAGTCTGCTTTGTGCATTGATGTATCCCCGGAACCTAATAGAAAGCCTGTCACGCAATGGGTGAGCTATATAATTTTGGGATGAATGAATGTAGAAATCATAGAAGGTTCCTAAAGGGATGACGTAACGGATTATGGGACTTGTAGTCTGGAACCTGAAGTTCGTGCAGGGATTGGTGACATGCTTATTCATTTTGGGGTCATAATCATAGTAAAAAATTATTCATCAGAAATTGAAATTTAACTGTGCGTCCCAAGTTTGTATTTTCTAATCTGGCTTCCCTAAGAACCCCCTGTCTCGGGGCCAGGGATCTTGAGAAGCATGAGTACTCACACCCCTTATACAGATGGAAAGACTGAGGTCACAGGGTGAAGAATACAACAGCCCTGGCCCACAACGTGTTGACATCCCAGGCTCTGATAGGGTGGCATTTGTGTTGATTAACAGCATTGGGTTCAAATTCCAGCCCCTCCACTTCCCATATGTGTAACCTTGGGCAAGTCACCACCTCTCTGAGCCTCAGTTTCCTCAGCTGCCAAATATAATAAATAATCAAATACTTTTCCACTCCTTGAAGAGGTGTGTAAGAAGTTAATCAGATAACCCACATGAACTAACTCGGAAAGAGGAAGGCACTCATGAAACTCTCAATAAGTGTTGCTATTATAAAAATACACCCACTTGTGCAGCCCCAGGACTGTGGCATCTGCTCTGCCAGCAGAACACCCTCCCCCACTTTTCTGCATGGCTAGCACCTCATAGAAATGGCATTGGGCATTTCTTAGCTCGGCATTGCCACCTCCACCAGAGTGGGACCTTGATGAAGGCAGAAACCAGATTGTTTATATCTGGAACCTCAGTGCCCAGAATAGAGCCTCACACACAGTGGTTAAGTGAATGAATGAGTAGTGAAAGCTCCAACACACCAGCCAACCCTTCCTAGCCATTCTTCTTCTTCCCTTTCTTCCAGCCATTCTGCAGGCCTCTCCAGGGAGGTCCTAGGCCTGAGGAGTCAGGAGTGCCCTGGCAGGGCAGGGAAAGAGATAAGAAGTCATTCTGGCCCAAATCACCAAATGTTTATTACCTGCTTCTTCCATCTGCACCCCCATTCTCCCAGGTCAGGATAGGAACACATAGGACACACACACACATTCATCCAGAGACAGGTCAAGATAGGGGCCTGGCCCTAGCCAGTGTTGCTCAGTGGTTAGAGTGTCCGCTCACACAGGGTCATGGGTTCAATTCCCAGTCAAGGGCACGTACCTGGGTTGTAGGTTCGATCTCCAGCCCCAATCTAGGTGCGTGAGAGAGGCAACTGACCAATGTTTTGATGTGTCTCTTTCATATAGATGTTTCTCTCTCTCTCTCCCTCTCTCTCTCTCTCTCTCTCTCTCTCTCTCTCTCTCTCTCTCTCTCCCCTCACTCCCTTCCACTCTTTCTAAAAGAAAAAAAAATCAATGAAAAAAATATCCTCGGGTGAGGATTAACAAAACCAAAAAAAGATAGGTGCCTGAACATGGCTGCCTAGAGCTGCCCATGCTGCCTGCTCTCCTGAGCCTCTGTTTTTCTGTCTAAAATATGGAGGCTCAACTAGTCCTCCTTCAAAGAATGAGATGGAATTTTGAGTTTTCCAAGGAGGAAAGGAATTGGTATTCATTCATTCATTCATTCATTCAAGAGGCAGTAACATGCAGGAATCCAAAAAGCCACCTGCCTGGTTTTGAAACTCAGCTCTACTTGCTTCCCAGCTGTGTGACCTTTGAATCAGTTACCTGACCTCTCTGGGCTTCAGTTTCCTCATCTATAAATGGAGTAATGGAGAGGTTTTGTGAGGTTATATGAGTTAAAACAAGGGTGATTACACACA